ATATATATATATATATATATATATATATATATATATACATACATACATATATACATATATACATACATACATACATACATACAGAATACACATACAACAAAATTCACATAACACCCAGAGACCTAACAATCACACACACATGACAATCCCTGAACACCCCCCCAATCTGCCAAAATTCCCCACCTCCTAAAAACACACAAGCATCCACACAATAGACCAAGTAATACTGTCCAACTGATGGTGTGTGATGACCCAGGGTGGGATACAAAACAAACACAGCCACAGAAAACCAGTGAAGCCCCTTTTATTCTTTCACTTTGCTTCCAAGCTCCGAATATTCTTGATGGAAGACAAAAAACATTCACACAGTTACATGAAGAAGGAAAAAAGCAACACATACCAGGCAAGACCAGGGCTTGAAGACGTCCACAGATATCAGAACAAACACTGGGAAGGACGCCAAACTCAAGAGAGGAACCATAAACTAGAGATAGTTCCATGCTTTGTTTACAGCGTTAGCCCATACGCATGTCTGTCCTCTTATCCAGTTGTCACAGCTGCAGCCCATGAAGAGGATCAAGGCCTTCTCTTCCCAAGTAGACCACGTCTCTCCCTTATCCTCTCCTCCCTGCGTGCCCTAGGATGGAGAGGGGATGGGGCTGGGTCCTCCTCTGACTGCTCAGCTGGCCTCTGCCCTTCCCCAGCCTCCTCCACAACCTCCAGAGCCACACTTCCACTCCCTGTCAGCTGTCCTTCCTTTCCCTCAGACCCAGTCTCCACCAGGGGCATGACACCCCTCCTCCCCATACTAAACAAAATTAAGATTGGTTTATTTTGAGTTTCAGAAAGCTGTCTTTTAGATTTATTTATTTTTCAAAGACTCACTGTTGTCCTTTATTGTGGTAATTTAATTTAGCAGCAAATGATGCCCCTTAATATGCACAGTCTCTTACCCTCATCTTCCAAATAATGGAAATTGTGCTTTAAAATGAATTTATTCTTTGATTTTAGATACTTTTATTAGAATATGCATTTTTGTAAAGTTATTCTTGGTTTTGTTCTTGAATAAAAAAAAGTTATAAACATAAACAATTGAAAAGCTATTATCCTTATGAACTGCTTTCATATTTGCATTTGCCTCTCTTTCATAGGGTCACTGCACCATTTGCCAGTTTGCTGGTTCCATTCTTTTCTGAACAACCTTTCTAAAAACTTGCACTTTTCTTCCACTTCTAGTTTTTCCAATAGTGACCTCAGCTTGGACAGTCTCAGTATTCTTCTAGACGCTTTGGAGGGCAAATATCACTTAAAAAGTATCAAGTAAGTTGCCTTTAACTATACTGCTGTTGGCCATGTAAGGGAATTCCAATTGTTCATTGACTTTGTTCCAATAATTACAGTGTTATTTACTGGGTTTACTTTTGTGTAAAGAATGAGGTGCTGCGTAAATACGCTTGTCCAATTCTGGTCACCATCATATATATAAAAAAAGATGTTGAAATCTAGAAAAAGTCCAGTGAAGAGCAACAAGGATGATTAGGGGGCTGGAGGCTAAAACATATGATGAACAGTGGCAGGAACTGCATTTGTCTAGTCTAACAAAGAGAACGACTTGATAGCAGTCTTCTAATATTTGAGCCGTGGTGGCTCAGTGGTTAGAGTACAGTATTGCAAGTTACTTCTGCAGCCAGCTGCCTGCAATTTGGCAGTTCAAATCCCACCAGGCTCAAGGTTGGCTCAGCCTTCCATCCTTCCAAGGTGGGTAAAATGAGGACTCAGATTGTTGTGGGCAAGAGGATGACTCTGTAAACCACTTAGGGCTGTAAAGCTTTGTAAAGCAGTGTATAAATCTAAGTGCTGTTGCTATTTGAGGGGCCGTCACAGAGAAGAGGAGGTCAACATATTGACCTGAGGGCAGGACAAGAAGTACAGTAACAGATGAAAAGGAGAGATCCACCTTAGGAGAAATTGCCTACTAGTGAGGACAGCCAGTGGAACGGCTTCCCTCCAGCACCTGTGGGTGCTCCATCCCTGGAGGTTTTCAAGAAGAGACTGGACAGCCATTTACCTGGAATGATACGGGGTCTCTTGCTTGAGCAGAGGGTTGGACTAGAAGACCTCTAAGGTCTTTTCCAACCCTATTTTTCTACATACTGTATTCAAATATGCTAAGCTGTAGCACATAGTGCTTCGAGTGGTTCTACTCTTACGCAACAAATCTAGGAACCTGCGCTGGGCTACACATTCCCTGCTTTGAATAAGGAATGGCAATTGTTCGTTCTTTATTTAGTGACTGCCTTATTTAGCAGCGTGTTCAGTTATGAAAACAAAGAGTAACAACAACTCTGCAACTAATGCCTGCACTTGTGATCTTTGTAAATCTGTAAAGTAAAGAGAAGCTGAAGCAAGAATATAAGCACAGTTGTGGGTTCACAGTGACCACTTTGCTTAACAAGTGTATAAATGATGTTCCAAAGTGAGGGAGCCACCATAGAGAAGGACCTATTTCTACGTCCCACCAGATGTACTTCCTTGATTGTTGGGACCTGCAACATGCCTTGCCTTCCTGCCTTGGTGTCACCCCATAATCAGGGGTGGGATTCAAATTTCTTAACAACCAGTTCTTTGGGTGTGGCCTAATTTGTGGGTGTGGCTTGGTGGTCATGTGACTGGGTGGGCGTGGCTTGTATGTAAATATTCTAAATATTTATGTAAATATTGAATTGTTTATTTAAAAAAGAGCAACTTTTACCCAAAATCAGGCAAAGCAGGCAGGCCGATTGAGTTGCTCACAAAGTCACAGATTCACAGATTCACTTAGAGATCTATGATTCTGCAATCTGCTACCTGACTCTGTCACATAAAATTTGCTTGCAAGCAAACTCACAAAATTAACTCACAACACGCCATTATGTAAATATTGATTTTTTTTTAAATTAAACAATAGCAACTTTTACCCCCAAATCAGGCAAAGCAGGCAGGCAGATGGAGTTGCTCACAGAAACACAGATTCCCTTAGAGATCTACGATTCTGCAATCTGCTACCTGAGTCTGCACTGAAAAATAGAAGCTTCAGTCCTAAGGAAGCTTCAGCTCTGCTTTTAGATTAGCTAGAAAGCAAGAAATCCAACAATTTCCTGCTTTCTAGCTAAATTCAATCTCCCGGCATAGCAGAACAGCTGATGTTTGGGAGGGGGGAATAGCAACTTACCAAATGCAGGCAAGTTGGATGGCGCGCATGCCAGGTAAGGAGTGAGTGGGCAGGAAGGGGTAGGGCCAGCCAGTGGTGCGATTTGCTAGTTCTTTGAACTGGGCAGAATCATAACAACCATTCTATAGAACCAGTTGGACCAGGTAGAATCCCACCCCTGCCCATAATTCACACCTCAAAGTTCATGTTTGGCTATTTTATTAGGATAAGCAAAAATGTTACAGGTACAAGCATTGGCTTGAAGGGAAATGAACCAGGTGCTATTTATCCAGGGATATTTCTTGTGTCCTGACCGGGTTACTCCATTAGCAGAGATATCCAAAACAGGGTTCTACTAATTATGATCTCTATCTTCTTCATCTATTTCTTAGTTTTGGCTCTTTGAACCTTGACAACACCACAATTCTGAAGTTGTCTTCGAGGGTCTCTGCCATGCCTCTCCTGAAAAAACTTGGGTAAGTGTTTGTATATTGAGGTCAGCCCAGCCATCTGGGATCTGAATGATGCCTGGATTAAATTTCCATCTTCTGTAGTGGAGTCTGAGACCTAGGGAGAATCAAGTCCAGCAGTTTCCCATAGCATACATTGAGATCTCATGCCCTGAACAGAAAAGTCCTCTTAATTAACTCCCCTTTTTGAAAAAAAAAAAAAAACATTCTCTTGCTGGGGAAAGTTGACCTCAGATAAGCCAACTGACCTATGTTTATTTGGGTTTTTGTGTATATAATTCTTTTCTAGTTTGAACAAGAACCATTTCGACAGTCAAATGTCTGCCCACCTTGCAGAAGTTTTGAAGGCCACGCCTCAAATAGAAGAAATTGAGTAAGTCCACATTTTTCACTTGCACTTTTCCACTGTTTTCCTTCACTCTGAGGACATTTTCACCCTGCTGTCAATTTTACCCCTGAGACAGTTTTGGAAATGGACTTCAGGTCTTCTTCCACTGGCCTCCAATTGATTCCACTGACCATTGGGCTGGATTGCTGTAATCAATGTCTGCCCTAGTTCAGAAAGGGACTCGTGTGGTGCTTTGAATAAACTGGAGAGCCGAGAAATGTGGCCAGTTCCTTCTCCAGTTATTTGAGTTTAGGACATCAAGCCCTATGGTTCTATGGCTGGAAGGAACCTCAAAGGTCTTCTAGTCCAACCCCCTGCTCAAGGCAGGAGAACTTATAGCATCCCAATCAAATAGTCGACCAGCCTAATTTTTGAAAACTTCCAATGATGGAGCATCCACAGCTTCCAGAAGCAAGCTACAGGTAGTCCTTGACCACAATTGAGCCCAACATTTCTGTTGCTAAGTGAAGCATTTGTTAAGTGAGTTTGCCCCATTTTACCACAGTTGCCAAGTGAATCACTGCACTTGATAAATTAGACAAACTGTTCTTAAGTGAATCTGGCTTCCCCATTGACTTTGCTTGTCAGAAAGTCAAAAGGGGCTTCACATGACCCAGGACACTGCAACTGTCATAAATAGGAGTCAGTTGCCAAGCGTCTGAATTCTGATCACATAGTCATTGTCGTAAGTGTGAGAAATGGTCATAAGTCACTTTTTTCAGTGCCTTTGTGACTTTGAACTGTCACTAAACGAACTGTTGTAAGTTACTGCACCTCTGTATGGTTTGCCAATTGCACAGTGGCAGATAGGACAGCACTCCAGAGGGTGAACGTCATTGCCCAGAGGATCATGGGTTACCCTCTTCCCTTTTTGGAAGAGCTTTATAGCTCCCGCTGCCTTAAGAAAGTTCAAAACATTCTCAAAGATCCATCTCATCCTGGGAACCCTTTTTTGGAACTATTACCATCTGGCAGATGGTACAGGATAATAAAAATAAGGACAAATAGGCTGAAAAACAGCTTCTATCCCAGGGCAGGAGCTCTTTTGAATTCTACTGTCTAGTGCAATATTAATGCAATATCAGGGGGGTTTCAATTCAATCCGTGGAGTGTGAGGGATGTGTGTTTGTGTTTATTTTCATAGTCATAAATTGTACACTGAAGATGGTATTTAATTTCGTTGTACGAGGTACAATGACAATAAACTAAACTTTTTTTTTATACCAAGGGCTACCTGTATTTCAGTATGATTAAATGAAATGTAATTAAGAAGGCAAAAAAAAAAGGAGATGGGAAAAAATGGGGGGTTTATTCTAGACTTACAGACTTTCTGCTATAACTTACTTACCCTTCTTCATATTTGCAAGGATTCACACGGTGACTCTGTCCTGGAATTCAGAAAAGATGGTTCGGAGTCAGCCATCATCTATGTCAGAATGGGTTTATCCTTTATTTAAAACAATCTTTGGTATTTCCTCAGTCATGGATTTAGCATTTCCATCACTTCAGTGCTTCATTCCACAGGACGCCCCAGCTATATATAGCTTTCTATGGCTTCTGTGGTTTATGGATCCTCAGGATTTAGCAGCTCAATGTAAACTTTGACATCATTTTTAAGACTTTCATAATTTTACATAATAATCTGGGAGCTTGCCTCTGCAAGTTGCAGGTGCTCTTTCACTGGAGGTTTTTAAGAAGAGGTTGGACAGCCAGGATAGTATAAAAGTCTCCTGCCTTGGGCCATGGGTTGAAAACCAGGAGAAAAAGAAAACCAGGGGAGGATAACAACTCCACATTGTGTAGCTGTTCTTTGAAAGGATAATGACAGCCAAAGATGAAAAACCAAACAAAGACTAATCAATGGAAATCATAAAATGCCATATTGGGTATTCTGAAACATAGATATTCCACCTGGCTTTGGTGGATCCTGAGATTCTACCAAAAATAGTCAGTCCCAACCATGAACCATGAACCACGAACCAGCTACATGAGTGACACGTGACTTCTTTCTTTGATCCTCTGTGCTTGTGCATTTTCTTTTAAAGCTTAAGCTACAACAAGATTGATGATGCAGGCATGAAAGAAATAGCTAGGATCCTTCCAGGAATGAAGAATGTGAAGTTAATCAAGTAAGTTTCTTGCCCTTCTATTGGTCAAGTTGAGACAGTGATAGATTTCTGATTTGGGTTATAAGTGGTAAAAGGGATTCTGACCCACCATCTAATTGTCTCTCCCATGCTGTGGGAGAAATACCAATGTTGATGGCATGGCTGAATCCAAGGAAGCAAAAGTCATCCCCATAACTTAAGAGGTGCACTTAGTAATCAAATTAATATTAACTGACTTACAAGGTATAAGGCAGAATTTGGGGTGGCAGAGCCCTCCTCAGGTAGGCGATGGTAGCCAGCCTGTGGCAATAATTATACAGAACCTGCTAAGCTCTTGTTGATTGGTTGATGGTATGCCATCACTGGAGGTTTTCAAGAAAAGATTGGGCATCCATTTGTCCAGGGTGGTATGAAGGACCTGCCTTATGTAGAAAATTGGACTAGAAGACCTCCAAAGTCCCTTCCAGCTTCCATTCTATGATTCTTCAAGTTACCTGTTCTGGCTGGCTGTGGTATTATCTCTGGCCACTGCATAGTTAACTGCTGAGGAATAGGAAAACTAAGAGTGAAAGTTTGCAATGCCTAAAAGTTGTCCAGAAGCCCAAGGATGGAGACATCAAGACTATGTTGCTGGTGACCTTAACTTTGTCCCATGCCCTGGACTGTCCATTTCATACTTACTTGCAGATTTTTTGTTAAGCATGCATCAGTGGCTCTCTTAAGTCAGGTCAATGTTTTCCAATTCAGGGGAAAGCTATGGATCCTATTGGAATGCATTGACTTAAGTAATGGAGCAAATCATCCATAATTCATTGTCAGGTCCCATGCTTCTATAACTTAAGAAAACGATGCGTTGCCTGCAGCACTCAAGAATCGTTAATCAATTGCAATTTTTAATAGGACAAAAGAAAAAAAATTAAATAGATAATGATAAGCAGTCATGTTAATTATATTTGAATGTCTGCAATTAGTTCCATTCCTACTTGGGACTCATCAGATGTACATAACCATAGGATTTTCTGTGGGGTTGAAATCCTGTACTGGGAGTTGTTGTAAGAAAGCTGGGCTATATGGAGCCATAGTGGCACAGTGGTTAGAATGCAGTATTGCAGGCTAACTCTGCTCACTGCCAAGAGTTCGATCCTGACCAGCTCAAGGTCGACTCAGCCTTCCATCCTTCCGAAGTTGGGAAAACGAGGACCAGATTGTTGGTGGTGATAGGCTGACTCTATAAACCACCTAGAGAGCAGTGTAAAACACGATGAAGTCGTCTATAAGTCTAAGAGCTGTTGCTATTGTTTACCTTTCTAAAGAAAGACTCTCTCCTTCTTGAAACACAGCTGACCACTAGGCCTGGAGAGCTTCTCAGGTTAATACACTATGTGTCAGAGATGTCCCGTACTGCTAGCTGGGGAATTGAGTCGAAGTCCACAGGTCTTAACGTTCTCAAGGTTGGACACTGCTGCTGTATATAGTGACACCCCTTGCAGTGACCAAGGGCCCATGAGTTCAATCCCTGGCAGATGATCTGAACCCCCATAGAAAAACCCATGCTGGTTGGGGATTTGGTCTGGGATTTGAAGTACACGTATCTTCAAGCCGCCAAGGTTGAGAAACACTGTCCTGACTGATGTCTTTTCATCCTGCAAATTGTCCCTAGTTTTTCCTGCAACAGCATCACTTCAGTTGGAGGACAATGGATAGCCGAAGGTCTGGTTGAGAGTGAGAAGCTGGAAATACTCAAGTAAATCAATCACCCTTTGTTAATCTGGATTCCTTCCCCCACCCTGCTTGTCTCTTTAAAGCAGGGGCGTCCAACCTTGGCAACTTTAAGACTTGTGGACTTCAACTCCCAGAGTTCCTCAGCCAGCAAAGCTGGCTGAGGAACTCTGGCAGTTGAAGTCCACAAGTCTTAAAATTGCCAAGGTTGGACGCCCCTGCTTTAAAGCATCCTTTTTTCCCACTGATACCTAACAAAGTGCAAACATTAAGGGATGGGATGCAAATATTTTACTACCAGTTCTGTGGGCGTGGCTAGGTGGGTATGGCCATGTGACTGGGTAGGCATGGTTTCTTTTCTTTTTTTGCAGCACCCCTCCCCCCCTCTGCACACTCTTTTTTTGCCTCCTGGGCCTCAGGGAAGCCTCCCGGGCGAAGGAGTAAGACAGCGAAGGGAATCCTGGAACAGCTGATCCTAGGAACAGCTGATCGTTGGGAGGAAAAAAAATACTGGTTCAGCTGAACCGGTAGCTGTTTTTTTTTTTACTAATGGTTCAGCCCAACAGTAACGTTTTTTTACTATCGGTTCGCTTGAACCGGGCCAAACCGGTAGAATACCACCACTGCAAACATTTCTTGACAACACGATGTCTGCTATATTTCCATTAATCATCTTTTTTCCAGTCCATGAGTGAAATAGCCTCACACTGTCCTTTAGCTTGGTGTTTATGTAGTTCTGAAGCCCATCCTTTTTATTCTGACACCACCCAAGTCACATGATGTCAGAAGGAGCCTGCTAACACCTTTCCTTATCACTCACAAAAGCTGATGTCTTTTAGCAAAAATGTGTTACAGGTAGTCCTCAACTTACAACCACGAGGAGCCCCAAATTTTTGCTGCTAAAGAAGATACTTGTTAAGTGAGTTTTGCCTCATTTGACGATCTTTCTTGCCATCGTTGTTAAATGAACCACTGCAGTGGTTCGATTAGTAACGTGGTTGTTGAGTGAATCTGGCTTCCCCGTTGACTTTGCTTGTCAGATGGTCATAAAAGGGGATCACGTGACCCCCCTGAGACATGGCAACTATCATGAGTCGGTGACCAAGCATCTGAATTTTGATCACGTGACCACGGGGATGCTACAGAGATTGTAAGTGTGGGAAAATGGCCATAAATCAATTTTTTTTCTGTGCTGTTGTAAATTTGAATGGTCACTGAAAAAACTGTTGCAAGTCGAGGACTTGTAGATGGAAAATGAGGTTTGTCCCCATTCTTCTGTCCTTCCATAAGACGGTTGGTCTGAGTGTCCATCGGGACAGTCTGTCCCTGGAGGGAGCTACTAGAATGCTTGCATCCCACTTTCCCTTCTCCGCAAATCCTGCTCCCTCCCTGCCCATCTTTTAATTCATATTGCTATTTATTTTAATTGTTTCATTGTTTTATTATTGTTATATGTTTAATAATGTTACGTTCTACTGTTGTAAGCCTCCCGGAGTAGCCCCTCCTCTTGTCACATGGCTTAATGTAGAGTTCCTTTGTTAGGTAAATGTTAATTCTTCTTTTAATCCATGATCATTCACCTCCACTCCCCCTTCTCCTGCCTAGATTATCTGGGAACAGAATCGAAAACAAGACTTTGGAAACACTGGCTCCAATTTTGCCTTTCAAGAAACATTTGAAAGTCCTCCAGTAAGTACCCAGGTTAAGAATATTGCATCTGTAAATCTGTTTCACTGGCTCCACCTTAATATTACATTGGGGAAGGAAACCCTTTCAAACTGTGTAGCGCTCAATGGGCAAAAGGTGTTCATGGCATCAAATAAGCCTTTTATGGCTCTCTGACTCTCTGGCTTGGGCGTAACAGTGAGAAAAGAGATATAATATTGCTTTATCATTGTTTCGCCAGGAGTCAGGACAATGATCATTTGCCTAGGCAATTGCTTCTTTTGGATCCACAGACAATAAGCACATCTCTAAATAAAGGGATTTTAAGTGTTTATTATTAGCTCAGGCATATAAATGTTAAAGCATAACAAAAAAGCATATATACCAAGCAAGCAAGATGACATCCAAATCTCTTACAAGCTGCCAGGAACTCCTTCATAATGACAGATATCCCCAGGGGTGGCGAATTGGAGGAGGAGGAGGAGATAAATGAGAGAGGGGGGGAGGGAGAGGGGGGGAGGGAGAGGGAGATGAGGAGGGAGGGGAAGGGAGGGAGAGGAAGAGGGAGGGAAGGAGGGGAAGAGGGAGGGGAAGAGGAGGAAGGGGGAGGGAGGGGGAGAAAGAGAGAGAGAGAGGATTGATAGATGATAGATGGACAGACAGATAGAAAGAGAAACAGAGGTCATTTTAGAAGCCAGAACCAAATATCCTATTTTTCTGCACCCCAATGGCCATTCTGCTGTGCTCCAGAACCCACTCCAGATGCCCAGGGGGATATTGTAGCATCCAACTCAACAGTGCTAGCTTTCGTGTTTATCAGGGAGTCTAGCTTATGTTCTTTTAATAAAAAAATTAGAATAGCAAAATAATATAACAACCCCCCCCACCAAATTACAAGAAAAACTGCAGCCATAAAAAAAAAACCTTATAATCATACCAACATAATGTGAGATGGGACACAGCTCATCCAAGCCCCTAGGGATGTCCATAAAGTGTGGTCCAAAAACTGAAGCTGGCAGCCACGAACCGTGTGATAAGAACTCTGCCCTTTTGTACACACAGCTTTACTTTTTGAACACAACTGCTGTGGACAACCCCTGCATAGTCTCCGGGGAGATCCCTCCCCAGAAGTCGTCATTCGGTATCGCTGCCCCTTCTCAGCGTGGCACGTTTGCAAAAAAAAAAAAAAAAAGTATGCAATGCCACACGTTTTTCTTTTCCCCCACATAAATTTCCTTTGGTGTCTCTGCAGCCTTTCTTCCTGTCAGTTGGATTCTGAAGGACTCGGCCACTTGGCAGGAATCTTGGCCAAATGTCCACAGATAGAAGAAATCAAGTAAGTGACACAGGAGGTCCAGCCACAAAGGTTCACCAAGGCCAGGGGTTTTGAAAACGTTTCAGAGCTGCCTTATGACCTAGATTTGAAGTTCTGACAATTCCCCAGTAATCATGGGACTCGGTGGTGGGATTCAATTATTATTTTTTTACTACCGATTCGGTGGGCATGGCTTAGGCACGGCATGGCATGGCTTGGTGAGCATGGCAGGGGAAAGATACTACAAAATCCCCAATCCCTCCCCACCCCACTAACCTGCTTTCCAGCTCCATTCTCCTGTGCAGGGCAACCAATGGAGACCCAGACAATTAACTCAGGAGGCAGAGAAGAGATGGGGCCAGTCAGAGGTGGTATTTGCTGGTTCTCCGAACTACTCAAAATTTCTGCTACTGGTTCTCCAGAACTGGTCAGAACTGGCTGAATCCCACCTCTGATGTGACTTCACTTCAGCCACTCAGCACATGGCCGTTTGCTGTTTGCAGAGTCACACTGTGAAGTGATCATGATTTACAATAATTTTGCCTAAAACCTGCATTTATTTCCAGTTTTTGCCAAAACTGACCCATAAGCAATTTACACAATGACTTGACTTAATAGCCACAAAAAAGGTTGTAAAATCGGGTCAGTCATGTGACCAACCTGCTTTATGGCCATCATGAGTTATAGCAGTAATGGGGCAAGCTCCATTACGGCCGTGACTTGAGGACTGACTCTTAAAGGCTCTGCTTGTTGATTTTGCCTGGGATTGTTGTATGATTCTCTTGCTATGTCTTCGCAGCTTGTCAGAAAACAACATTGGGGATAAAGGTGTGATGTCCTTTATGACACCCTGGCCACAATCTTCACAACTCAGGAAGATTGAGTAAGTTTTCAGTTTCAGGCAAGAGAAGAGTTAGTGGCAGGATACATTCTTCATTTTAAGTCATAATGAGTTAATGAGTTAAATGGTTTAATAGTTTAATTGGTTCGAATTCAGTGTAACAATGGGGACAAGTTAATTGTAACTTCCAAGTGAAGCGTTTTGGTTTATTGGACTGTGTGAACCCAGCTCATTATAGCTTGTTCAACAAACCATGACTATGCATGGTTAAACAAACCATGGCCAAGCACCCAAGCATTAACCTTGCCCATATTACAAGGAGCATAAATCAAGGTGGTTTAAGACTATGGTATGGTGGTAGCAGATTATCACAGCTTCAGCCTCAGGATGTATAATTTTAATAGGCTGTTTCACTTTCCAAATTGCAGGATTGGGAAAGATCCACGTTAATCTAGTGATCTGGACCTACTCCAACCATTGGCTCTAGTTCTTGGCTCCACCAGTTTAGGAAGGATTCAGACTAACTGGGTGAGATATAGAGAAGGATAGAGAGGATAAAGGTAGAGTGGAAACCATGTCCTAAAATGTTTCACCTGAAGATAGATAGAATGACATTCTTTGGCTCAGTTTGTTGTATGGATAGGTGTACGTGTGTATACGTGTGTGTGTGTGTTGAGTCAGTCTTGATTTCTGACTAGATGAATCCCTGAGCAGTTTTCGTGGCAAGATTTTTTTCAGAAATAGTTTGTCATTGCCTCCTTCCTAGGGCTGAGAGAAAGTGGCTGGCCTGAGGTCACCCAGCTGGCTTTGTGCCTAAAATAGGACTAAAACTCATAGACTCCCAGTTTTCATTCTGTTGTACATTTAACTACTTTACCAAACTGGTTCTCTTTGTCAGTGAACTGTCCTAAAGGTGCTTTTTTAAAAAGCAAGTGGACTTTCTTAGTTTTTTTCCTAGAAAGCCAAGTTCTTCAAAACTGAAGAAGCTTCTTGGATGAGAAGCGAAACATTTTCAAGAATAAAAAAAAGTCCATTTGCTTTTTCAAAAAGCACATTTGGAACAACTATAACCCGGAGGATTGAGAATCTCCATAGATAGTGAACTGTGTTAATTACAGACATTATTGCTACACTCAAACAGTGTGTTAAGCTTTGGTTAAAACTGTTTTTTTTCCTCTGTGTGTTTTAATATGGTGGTTAGGAATATAGCTCACGGTTCAATATATCAGGTCAATCCAGGAAAAGAATCAGTTCACTAAGCAAATGAATTATGCACTGTGCAAACATAGCCACAAAATACAGATACAGATACTGATCCTTTTCTCCCTTTTTTAAATTTTAGACTAAAGGCCTGTGACATCAGCGATTGTGCTTCCAAAACTCTAATTGTCGGACTCAGCTGCTGTCCTTTCCTTGAAGAGATTTTGTGAGATTGCATTGTTGTTGTTATTGTTGTTGTTGCTGCTATTATTATTATTATTATTATTATTATTATTATTA